GCCACTCGGCCGGCCCCAAATTTAGTATTTTTAATTGATTCTTCTTAAATTGGAAATCCACTACCTTTTACTAAGTACCTATCAAATGAGAAATGGTAGGAAATGCACATTTACGAAGAGATTTTATTTTAATTTTGACTTCTAAAATAAACTTTGGAATACTTTGACTTCAAATATAGATTCAGAAATCAAAATAAAATGCTATAAGATTCCTGGAAATAAGTAAGAGTTGTATAACTAACTCTAACTTAAAATCATAAATGCATTGGCCAAGTCCTTACTTGGGAGGGGTTTTATCCTCTTATAGATGCCGAAGTTGATAAGACCATGACGCTCTAAATAACTGTGAACTCGGTGGACAAGCACAGTGTCACCTACAGAATAAATGAATTTAAAAACATGTTTATATTTTTAGCAGTTTAAACAACGAACTCTTTAACTCTTCTAGTTATCCATCATGAAGTCATTCTATACATCTTTTCCATAAGCTTCAGGTCATGTTACTCCTTTAGAAAAGTGATTCTTTGCACTCTTACTCAGCAATGTACTACAAAATGCATGCAACATTGTTAGGAATTTTTAAAAATGGCATTCCACTATAGATGAAATGAAAGATAAAACCAACCCTTTTAAATGTGTTGTATTATGCTCATTTACTTTGGCAAAAACTTAACAAGATTTTGTTGGTGGCAAGTGGGAAACAAGAAGGCAGATAACCAGTCAACTGAACACCAACAAATACTCCATGGGTTAAAGTTAGACTATAGGTCTGGGGGAATTATTAGCAATCTCTTGAACTCATTCATCTGTCAATGCAATTTAAAAACCAGGAAAACAATTATAAACATACAAAACAGCTTGTCTACATACAAGGTCCATTTTTGCACAACACAGGTAAGGTAAGATGAAAATATGAATGAAAAAATTCATTATCAAGGAACCATAAGCCTCCTGGAGGGAAATAACAATTTTCACAATCCAGTCAAAACCAGTCCTACTGAACACATTACTTACTGTTGTAAGGTGCTTCTAATTGTTGGAGGGTAGCCTCAAATGTCAGCTGAATCTTTGGATTATCCAACCACAACTGCAACTGCATTTAAACAACAGAAATTGCATTATATATAATTAAACATAGACCATTTGACCACTTTAAAATATTTTTTTAACTTTAAGACCCCAAATATGGGCTTTTTTTCATTGAAATAATGAGGGTTGTATTCCTGACAAAGTAACTGACGAAATAAAAAACCATGTCAAATGAGTGAATTAGAAGCTGGGAGATATTTAACCTAAAAAAAAGAAAAATACCTAGCAACTTGCTAAGATCATACAGCTGGTAGGAAGTAACTAGGATTTAAACCTGGGTTGCATAAGACCAAAGATACTGAGTAGATAAAATCCACAAAATCAAATGATTAATTAGATATACAGTGGTGGAGGGAAGAGGTGCCAAGCACAGCTCCTCAGTTTTGGCTGGCAGACTAAATGAGTCGGCATGCCACTCACTGAATGAGGACCCCCTTGAAAGAAGAGATAATGAGTTTAGTTTTAAGACAACCAAGATTGGCAGCTAGATAGATATACAGGTGGGGCTCATAGGAAGGTCTACAGCCATTTGCTTATGGGTGACTGAAGCCAAATGTGAGAAGAGGGTTCCTGGGGGCAAAAACAGGAGAGAGGAGAGGACCAGAGCCTTATGGAACTCCAACCAGTTCCTATAATGGCCTACAAGGATAAGCCTAAAAAGCAGTTAGGAAAGACAACAGCAGGGAAGCTAGAGAAAATCCAAATACTATGTTAAGCTAAGGGAGTAGTTGTTTAAGAAAAAAGGAGTGGTCAGTTATTTCAAATACTGCTAAAAAAGCAGTTAAGCTGAGGAATGAAAAAATCATGGTATAATCAATGGGCTCTAACATTAATTCTCTTCAAATCGAACACATATCTGCAAAATGCAAGATCAACTATATACCACCATATTTAAGACTTGGCGAAAACATAATAATAAGGACTGCAGCTCCATAGACAAGTTTCAATGAAGAATGAATTTGGTCATATGTAAACAAACCCAATTAAGAGCTATAACCAAATCCAAATACATCTGTACTTTACTCTGTGGCCACTGTCAAGAGAAAATGGAATTCGTCAAGCACACACTGGGCCCACGCTCCATACCCCTCAATCCTCAACAGAAGCCTTCTTCCTCTTTCCAGCCTATAAAATAAAGCTCGTGTTATAGGTTCCACTTCAATAATCCTAAAATTGCAGTTTCAAAGTCTCAGAGCAAAAGATTTAGCTTAAAACAAGAGAGCCGACAAAATTCTTACAGGAGAGAATGATTTATGTTCTGCTTTACAGCCAGAGACCACAACTTGGACCTGGGCCAGTCCCTCCCCAAATCGGGACTTCTGGTCACAGAAAATGAATCAAGAGAAAATAGAGATCACTGTAAATCCACCGCTCAAATTCAAGTAAAAAAGTGGAAACTCCCGGGCCAGCCAAGTGGCGCGATGCTTAAGAACTGGCTTGGGACGCCAGAGGGCCCCGGTTCGGATCCCACATATGAGGGCCAGTGACACTGCCCTCCACAGCTAAGATGCTGAACAACAG